ACGCCATAAGTTACAGCGTGCCGTAATTTTGCGGTATTTTACAGGGTATTTTCATACTACCATATTAGGAAATGCGAATTCCAAATATGGAATTACGTGCGTAAGCGTCCTCTAATAATAAAAACAAACATGGCTGCCATCAGGATTTGACCGGACTCCACACAAATAAGTTCGCTGATTCTGTTCTAAACTTTTTGGATTTCGGCATTCCCATGATGTATCCTTGGAAGGAAAAGATGTATAATAATAAGGTTATTACAAAGATACCTCAAAGTATGCACTCAGACAGTACGCTGTCGCATCGACCTCCGCTGCGCGTCGGTCGATACTGCCGCTGTACTGTCTTTATGCATACTTTGAGGTATCTTCGTAATAACCTTATATTATACTATACCCTATAGAGTTATAATAAAATAGAAGCACATAGAAACTGAAAATTACATTTGTTGTAACTGAATCATTAAAATATAGCCAATTTTTTCCATAAAAAACATCTTTGTAATTTACATATGTGTACATGCGCTTCTGATATAGTGAGTATGGTAAATACTAGTATATTAATATATTAAGACATTCTATTCTCCATGCATGTAGGGGGAAATTGATTAAAAAAATACAGAGCAGAATATTCTAGTTTTTTCAAGTCATGTCATGTATGTTTCTGATGCTGTAACTGTCGTGTTTTTTAAACATATTAAAACTACATGTATATTTAAACTTCAGCTGTGTTTTGATTGGCGCTCAAGCATCATCAACAAATGTTTTTATTTTTAAAGTGGGAGGTACACTTGGTACACAGCCATGATTACTGAGAGTTGACTTCTGTGGGATTCAGCTGTTTGTTATGCAAATATCTGCCTATAATGGCAAAGTGACACACAATGACCTATTGTTCGTTTTGAATGTAGCAAGCTGATTAATTATGTATGCATTGAAAGGAAGTAAATACCTACGGTATGAACAATGATAGCCAATAGAATGAATGACTGCTTTCAGTACTTATGTCAGCATTTCTATTCATCCGCAGGTTTAGAGGTAAGCAGTCCTAACGGCCGTATGTGTTAAGAAGGATACACTTGGTGAGCAGACTCTGCCATGAGAAGAACGGCTACACCATGGCTCTAACATCAATACCATTCACCTACAGTAAATTTCCCCTGAAGATCCTTAACAAGGGGCCAGAGTTTTTTAAAGCACAAGCTGAGAAAAGGGAGCAGAGGAACCGTCGGAAAACAGCAACTGAGTTGCTAGCGGAGAGTCGACACAGGTATGTGAAGAGCCCTACATTTGACTCTTGTGATGACACCTTAGCACAGAGCGGACACAGAGATGTTGCAAATGAATATGATTACAGACAGTATGAGTTGATTCGATGTCATCAAACTCACACTGACAGTGGTGGTGTCAATTGTGGGGGGAACATCGGCCATGAGGCAATGGATGTAAACAAGACTGCTGACCAACAAAAGAACAATACAAAGTCAAAGCATACTGCGATAGTGAAACCAATGCCGCAAACCAAACCCATACATTTACTGAAGCAAAAAACAAGGTCGCCAGAATTTCACACACGAGATGCTAGTTTTGATAGTGGTGTCTTCGCCAGTCCTGCTGCAAACAACGTACTTAGTAGTTCAGTACAACATACAAAGTCACATGACACCCGAACATGCATGTCAACAGAAGACGGCCAGCTAAATGCTAATGAGACTTCCCGTCCATTGACCACTGAAAACAGGCTCCAAATACGGCATTGTAAATCAAAGAGTGCCCCAGTCGTCAACATGGACTATGTGAGTAAAATGGTTTCTATGTTTAATAATATGGGGGATGATGAACCTATCTTGTCCCCTACGGAGAAAACTACAAATGAGGAATATTACAGTAATTATGTAGCCGAGGAGAATGTCAAGACTACGTACCAAAATGAGAATGACAAGGATGAAAATGCACGTCGTCCTAAAAGTCCATGTGCTCGTCGTCATGCCAGGCGACACCATACAGTAACTTGCGGTCCCAGAGATAACTCGTCTATTAAAGCGAAACCTGCCTGGAGGAATGATTTAACTGAACCTGACTCTGAAAATGTGAAACGGAGCAGTATTGACTTTAGCAGTCTTCGAAGAAACAGTCCTATAACGGTACGACAGAATCGACAAATGGATGATGAGTATGATTACGCAACACTACCAAAAGCTTTGGAACAAGAAAGTTTTCCCAGCTATGGAAGCCTCCGAAGGGATCAACTTTCAAAGAGCCAGGGACTGCCAGCAAAAGAATGGCAACATGACCACATTTACATGCATGCAGGACGTCCAAAATCAGAACATTACAAGTCAACTCATTTTGGATGTCTGAAACGAGATAGTCTCAGTAAAAGTCAAAATGTACGTGGACAGGATGGTTTTGGGGAAACATTACAAAATGAAATAAGACTAGCACATAAGTATAGTTATGAAAGTGAACATGAACACAGGAGCTTTGGGAAACACAGCGGAAATCCGAAGTCACTAAATTTCAATGCATCAAAGCGAATTAACACAAGACGTAGTCCAAGTACTGACAGAAAATCAGCACTGGAATCACAGCTGCTATCGTTACTTTTAACAGAATATAAAATAGAAGCAGATGGGAAAACTACCCCGACCAGTGATGCTGGATTTGACAGTAAAGGTGATAGTATGAAATGGTCTAGTACATATCACTCGGACAAATCTCAGGGAGATGCCGATGTCCCAGACATTGAATTGGAAACTGACGTTGAACGTCATGACCAGCCACCTAATTACATGGCTGTTCTGACTTCACAGAAAAACTTACAGCCACAAGATGGTTTGGCTGACTTGGCTGATAATAGTAGATATAATGTACACTGTGTGGAAGAGCGTAACAGTTCGCCGATCAGTTCTGATGCCTCATCAGCCAGATCCAGAGTACATCGATCAATCTCAGATCTTAGTCAAAAACACTCCACGGAATGCTTTGTCTCAGAGCTTGATACATTCTTCAATGCGATGGGAATGGACTATTCCACTATTTGGCCTTCTTGCTGGGAACGCAAGGAGGATATCTTTCATATGATGCACGGTCCACGGGACAGGAGCTCTGTATCTGGAGACAGCCACTGGGAGGACATATCCTGGCGAAGCAGTAGGAGCATAAAAGGACCATTTAGGATGGGTGTTCCTGATAGACTTCCGGATTCGTCCCAGTCACTGGTCATGAAGAACGCTCGCATTATAAAATGGTTGTGTGAATGCAGGAAGGCTAGATCCCGTAGCATATCATAATAGAATACTATGGACAATCTATTGACATATTAGTAAAGGTATGTATTATGTTTTTTTTCATGCTATAAAAATCTATAGTGATTTTCTAGAAAGTAGTTACTGGTTGTTCAACTGATTCAACGGCATTCACACTAATTTGGGGGAAATATATTTATGTTCCGAAAAAGTTTTATTTTTGATATAGGTAGATTACATGTAAGTACTCTCTTATTTCTTTATTGGTACAGAAAACTACATATGTTGTTAATATGGCAAGATAAAACCTTTCAACTTGGCAAAACCCCCTAAAATGTTATCAAGTCAATCTGTTTCTCTCTAAATTAATGTATATAATTTCATGTACCAATAATTAAATTGAGATACTATGACCTATATGAATGATAATATTTTTTATGCCATGTAAAGTTGGATTCACATCCCCTTCCTACTGTAAAATACTTTATTTTAGCAGGAATTAATTTTCGCTGAAAAGATTTTTTGGGTGTTTTGTATGGAATTTATTTTCACTGATATTTGACGAGTTGAATGTAAAATATAGTAAAAATGGTATATTTGCTGGATTGTATTTTCACTGAATCATTCCTTCAGCGAAAATAGTTTGAATACACACACATACATCCCCCTTCCCTGTCTGCATCTACCATATTTGTTTTCTCAGTGCCACCTTGCATATCATGCATTTTATAATCAGAGGATTTTTGGCCCGAGATTCATTCACTAACGTGTGCTTTGGGGAACCTTGGTTAAGGTTTACAGATACTTGTGTTCAATCAGGCATGGTTTAATGTAGGATAACCATTAAATTGCCATAATGCCATTATGATTGTAAAATGGTCACACAGCCCTGTAACGTAGCCCCAAACTGGAATATGGTCTCTGTGGCAAAATAGACTATAATATATCAGCTCTTGCACAAGACAAGAAGAGACAACATATTCAATGTCAGAAACTGTCGTCTAGCATAAAAATATAAAAACGAAAAAAAATTAATAATTAGAGGATTAGTAACACGGTGTAGCTTAAATACAGGTGACAACATCACAGATAATCCCATTCAGGGACAACCTTGGCTATGTGCAGCTACTATAGTAATGGTAATCACCCATAACCACCTTGTCTACTTAATGTTTTATCTAGATACAAGACAAATTCCGTTGTATCTTTAAAACTCAATGCTGTTCACTCAGTTGAATCAATTGACTTTTTGAAATTCAGGTGAATTTCTCCCTTTATCTTTTGGCCTTCAACTGTCAATAAAAACATGCTTTGTAATTTGTCAAGTTTTGGATTTTTGTGTAAAGCTTTTAGCCGCATGTACTTTTACATGTATACATGTATACCCAAGTTTTGTTGATTTCATAATGACATCGCACAATTTTTTCATAATTTTTTTTTCACATATTTTGATCAAGACCTGATGTCAATGGGAAATCATATCAATTTGATCCAAAATTAACAATAAATTTGTAAAGTGCATACATACTGTTTGTTGGTACGGAGTACACTTACAAGTATGAATTGGAGTACAAGTACTGACAGATCTGTCAAAAAATGGAAATTCTAAATTAAATACCCAAGCTTTAAAGTTATATTATGTCAGTAGAAATGGTGTTAAGCAGGGGTTCAATTTCATGTATTTTAGATGCGTTGTATACGTCACATCATCATGGGACCCACATCGGCCTTTAAAGCACCAGTCACCATGTAGAGGGCGTTGAATTACGTGTACATATATTGTTCATGTGTACATCATGTGGCTCCCAATTCAAACCCAACTCTTTTAATTTCAAATTCTCCGGTTAGGAATCTTCATTTTAGTACAAGGAGGGTCTGATTTTTAATGATTATTCTCAAACCCTCTTGACTTTCTCACTACGACTTGTTGCGATAAAATAGAATCAATCAACCCCTGATATAAGACGCTGATTGTCCCCTCTTGACTCAAATAATGTCTATACACATTTATGATAATATAATGTACTACAGTTTACATGTAAGTACTCGTTTAGTCTCTGATTTATTGCTTTGACCGTGCGGGTGGTGATGAACTGGAACCAGTGGTATGACAACTTGTAACCAGAGTACATCATACACTGAATGATGGGTATCCAAGTTTGTGGTTCATTCATTGCCGATGTGGGTGGGCAACGTAATGATCAATCATTAAATGTGTTGAATATTACCATAGAATTTGCTTAAAAAAATGTACATTTCTAACATTTACCTAATATGGACATAATTTATCATTGCTGATTTTCAAAATAGTGTTTTTTTGGAAAATACAAATATGATTTTCAGCAAGATAATTTTTTTCAACATTGCCCTCAAACTGCAAGATAGAATTCTGGGTGCGAAAATTTGCCGGCTTAATGTACGTTGTCCAGTAGCTCAGTATTAATCTTGTCTTGTACAGCCAGTTTTCTTCCTTCGATTTATGTGACTGCATGTTTGTTTTCGTCAGATTTCCTTTAATCAGAAACTAATTCTTTAAATTGTTAGTAAACATTTGTTAGCATTTGTCACTTTCTTTTATTGAATAATCATACCCATTGAAACTAACATTGAATTGCTATAATTCAGTTCTGATAGTTTTGTCACAAAACGGGGACTTATAATTCGGTCTCTGTGCGTCCGTCCGGAGCCATATCTCAGAATCTCTTGGACTGATTCCGTTCATTCTTTGCATGTGCCTAGTACTTTATATGGGACATATGCACATGCAGTGGTTTAGCGAATTGATTCAAAATGGCCGACTGGCAGCCATCTTGTTTTTTGAAAATGTTGTATTTTGGACATGCTTTGTCAGTTTTCATTCAAACTTGGTACATAGATTATACATGTTAGGATACATGTCCATGACGATTTATTTCACAATTGGATGAAAGATAGCTGACTGGCAGCCATCTTGTTTTTTGAAAATGTTGTATTTTGGACATGCTTTGTCAGTTTTCATTCAAATTTAGTACATAGATCATACATGTTAGGATACATGTCCCCGACCGTCCATGAGTTCCTGAGTCCATCCGTGTGTCCGCCCGTCCGTGCATCACTCTGTCTAGAATCATATTTCAGAATCCTGTGGACCGATTCTGTTCATTCTTTGCATGTGCCTAGTACCTTATGTGGGACATATGCACATGCAGTGGTTTAGGTGATATACATGTTAGGATACATGTCCATGACGATTTATTTCGCAATTGGATCAAAGATGGTCAACTGGCAGGCATCTTGTTTTTTTTGTTTTTTTTATGTGGTATCTTGGACGTGCTGTGTCAGTTTTCATTCAAATTTGGCACATACATGTACTTTATACATGTTAGGATGCATATCCATGACAATTTGTTTCAAAATCTGGTCAAGGATAGCCGATTGACAGCCATGTGCCTTTTTGGCTGAATAACAGCTGTTTTTATTTTTAGCCATATTACTACTACAAGGAACACTTGTTTTGATGTAAATAAACAATCTGTTGTATACGCCACTTGGAACTCAAGTTTCAAGGACACGCTCGCGACAACCCCTCCGCTTTAATATGACGAGCACAAAGAGAACTTTTAAAAATTTAACAGGGACTGTGTCATTTTCAATGACTTGTTTTATTTCTGTGTTATTCACATCAGTTGGCGTCTTGATGTTTACGGTTTTAAATTCTGAGTATAAATTGTTAAACAAGTTCACTGCCTTGCTATGGGCACTAACACTTTTTCAATTACATGCATCTTCCACTTGATACATAGAGATAATTCTTTGTTCAAAAGCATGCATGCCTGATGGCAGTGCGTTTTGTATACTACATTGACAAAGTGACTTTTTCACTTGACAATACCCTAAACCATTCATGGCAGGGGATCTCAGAGTACATGCATTTGATCAAACAATGTTTGTTTCTGGACAAAGTGTTGGAGCAGCTAAGTTGCATTTTATCCATACATGTACTTAGAAGGTCACTTGGCTATTAGTACGATATCCCCCCTCGATATCCCCCCTCGGGCGTTAAGGTGTCAATTGGACACTACATGCTAAATTAGTTGGCTATACACAATAGGCAGGTGGCTGGACTGTTTGAATGTTGGTTTTATAACGTGGGAAAACTGAAATGTACGTGTGAATTTCTAATGTGCACTCACTATAACGTTTTCGGACTGTCGGAATTTTTTGCCAATAAAACGTGAGGTGTATATAAAGCTGTTGTCTTAACTTGGGCAAAAAAACATTATGGACATGTGATAACTTCAATTATTCTAGTGATCAGAATTACAGTACTTTTAATTTGGATTTTCATTTCACTGTACACATCGTGATCAAAATTGGTGATGTTAGCTTGAAAAGTTGCATTGTCAACAATACCTTGTAGAGACTAGTTGAGACACTCTCATTGATTGTTTAAGGATTATAAAACTACAAATATAAAAACTCCTTATTCTAGGTGTTTCATGGTTATCTATTAAAAGTTATTGTAAGTATTTTAATTTAGACGTCGGACAAGACTGAAAGGTCTAGATTTTATTCAAAAACAATTAGTAATTTTAATTTCAATGTGATATGCATGGTTTTATTCTTGTTGGTAATGACTAGTTTCCAATAAAAACAAACAAGAACACATTGCTTAGTAACGATCACAGTAGTGTAATCTGGTTATGCTATTTTACAGCCTACTTAATTATCTTCGAGGTGTTACAATAATCGTAACTGAGTTGATAATCAATTTTTATAACATACAACAAATCAATTTGTTATGAAATGCAAGTAAAATTGAACTTGGTTTTATTGAAATTGAATTTCTCGGTTGCACGCAAATGCTCAATGCAAAGCAATGTCCGCCATGTTCTTTACATGTACGAGTTGACCTGATTGGTCGAGACCTCAATTGTAATCTAATTAGGCATAAGAAAGATTGAAATGTTCCAAAAGTGTTGAATCAATTGGAATTCATTTAAGATATGACTAATTTTCTTTTACATTATGATGACTCTTTATTTCATCATAGAATAATTGTGATTCCTCAATAATGTACAAATATGCTAAAAAAAAATACTTG